ATAATTGATAATAATCAAGTAATACGCGTAATAAAAAGCATGAACTACTATTATAAAATATCATATAAAAAAAAAAAATCAAATTGAATTAGAAAAAAAATTTGTAACCTCAAAAAACCGTTCTGCTTACGGTATATACACACTCGGTAGTCTGGCTTGAGAACGGAACTTGGCGCCAGATTTTACCGAATCTGTTGATGTGGCCTATAAGTTATTCTTGCAATTTAACGTCAAGACTTGCTGCGGAAGTATTTCAGTCAAGTTGTAGTAAAATTAAATGAAAATTATGGAGGGTAGAATACTTCTACCCTCCATAACGAAAATATAAATACAAGTTTGATTATTAACTTGCATTCAAATGTCGACCGTAGATTTTCGTCAATTTGCTTACAAATGTTATTCAGTGAAGAATTACCGTAAAGTTGATGTTAAGTTAACCGCAACTACTGGAAATCAACTTATACTTTCTGAAGAAGCACTGGCTCTGAGGGTATATATTGAAATTGTGTTGCAAGTACCTAAGAAAAAATACCCTGAAAGTTTGGGCCCTTAATATTGATATTGAGTGTTGAACAAACTTGTAGAAAATTCAATTTCCTACAAAAAAGGTCCTTAGCAACAAGTCGCTAAAATCAATATTTTCGGAGATTTTTAATATTTTTAAAAGATATTTTTTATAATTTGACGCAATTTTCGATAAACATTTGAAATTACTAAAAATTGATCATTAAATATCTCTGAAAATTTCGATTTTAGCGACTTGGTGCTGAAGACCTTTTTTGTAGGGAATTAAATTTTCTACAAGTTTGTTCATCACATTTTTTCTGTAGCTCTTGTCATTTACTAGATAAATGCAAATTTCATGGAAAAATCAAGTTTAGAGGCCTGTACTACCTCGCCGGTTCGAGTTACGGCTTGGCCGCAAGGACACTTTTGTAGAGCATTCAATTCTGAAAAAAAATCCGTCCATGAGTCAAATCGATGCTATGAAATGCCACTGAGCTATAGAAATTTAAACATAAAAAAATCAGAGTTTCTGTGTTTTTTTAAGGGGATATCTTTAAACGCCTGGGTCGAAGTCTTAATATCAATATTAAGGGCCCAAACTTTCAGGGTATTTTTTCTTGGGTACTTGCAACGAAATTTCACGATGGGACCGAAAGAAAAAAATAGTTGAAAAAAAAAACACCCTAATATATGTATATATATATTGAGAGTATAGGAATAATTTTGATGTTAATAATTTCGACCTTATTGACTGAAGATAGAATTTTAGCGAGTGGAATTTATGAAAAAAAATATCCGGATAGCCAGCGCTTTCTCAGTAAGTGTTGACTTCCAGCAGTTACGGTTAATTTATACATCAAGTTGGCGGTAATTCTTCACTCGACAACAGTTGTAAGCATTAAATTGACGGAAATCTACGGCCGCAACTTGAATACAAGTTAACAATCAAACATGTAGTTAAATTTCCTTTCAACTTTACTAAAATTTGACGGAAATACTTGTACAGCAAGTTTTGACGTCTATTTGCAGAGTAATAGTTATAGGTAACTAATAGGTAATTGCTCGCTTTGCCAACTCTTTCCGTCAAGTTTGCTTCAAATTGCGGACGTAGATTGACAGTAAATTATAGGCAAGGTGGCTATCAAGGTTAG